TTGTAGTTTTGGGCCAAATGTTATACAATCTCATGAGACAACTGAGAGCTGAGTCGATGTCTGAATAGAGATTCTGTTCGGAAGGGCTGCCATCACTTAATCCAAAGCCCGAGTAATCGTAAGTAATTAAATTGCACTTCAATTGGCGACTCATTTGCCATAAGTATCCGGAAGTGTATCCCATATCCGCTGAATTGTTATGACTGTAAAGTAGTGTCACTTCTGTCTTATGAATGGATGGCCAGAAGATACACGCGATTCGACCGCCTCTTCGGGTCTCTGCATAAAACACTTCAAACAAATGCATTTCTGACACAAATTGTCGGAAACACTTTGGGCCCAAAAGTAGTCGATTCACTTCAATGGACAGATCTTTCAGTACGAGTTTATATCGGTTTAACTTCTTATCAAACTGGAAGTCATAGGATGGATCGGGGACTCTGAAGGCCGTATTTGAGACAATTCGTGGTAATATCTGAAAGGGAGGACAATAGGAATGTTTGAGCATTTGATAAATACATTGCAATAAATCCATTACAGAAAAGAGTTGTAATATTTAAATTCAAACTATCATTTAATGTCATTCAATAACAATCAATTTGAATGCATGTTAATTATAGTGTTGTTGTAGTGTTTATGTTAAGTGAGAGAATTGTATTGTATTGTAATGTTATATGCAATTGAAATGAAATTTTGATCATGCTCAAAGTTCGGTGAATAATGCTCAAGAATTTCTGATAAATTAAATTCCAAACATTTTGCATTTAAACAAATTAATAACATTTTTAATAGACTAATATATTAAACAAATATATAATAAATACAAATCAAACATAAAATATATAAATTCATATAAAATGCAGAATAAATAAAATAAATAAATAATAAAAGCATTTGAAAACAATGTTTTGTTATAAAATACAAATATAATAAAACGTTAAACCAATGGTTCAGAGGTCTATGGGTTTGACTTTTCGGGGCCGACCCTTAGGCCTAGCCTTGCATTTGTTGACCGCATTGTCGCCGCAGTTGTTGTCCTGAAGAGCACTGTCTGTCGTTTTGGTGGCCTTTGGTCTCCTCCTCTGCTTCACCACAGCCTTCGGATCGATGTTCTCCTTGTTATCACACAACAGATCCACCACTTGTTGCACACACTTCTTGCTGTCGTCCATCGCCTCTCCCATCAGCTCCACACTCATAGCCTCGTCAGTGGCGGTCGCCGTACCGGTGCTCTCAATGCCTTCATTCGTGTCCATCGGCTGCAGAGTGTCATCGCCTGGAGAAGCGGTTCCCGCGGTGTCTGTCGACTCAATAATCATATATTGAAAGCCATCAGTAGTGGTGACATATTTAGCGCCGTTATGTTCAGTCACTTCCAGCACTTGCGAGGAGTGGAAGGGCAGGTTCGGCGCCGACTCGTAGTACTGGTATTCGCCGGTCATTAGAGTCGGGTATAAATCCAAGAGCTTTGCGGACATCGGCGGAGGGATTGTCGGCATATAGTCCTACGGCATACAGGCGTCAGTGAAATGGCGGGAAGGGAGGGGACGGGGAGGACAGGTATGTGGCGTCCGTCACTTACCGTACACTTGACTCCATCGCATTTGGAGAGGTGTAAGAGGAAGGCGACGCTGTGCTCGAGGACTGTGGCCTTATCTGTCTTATCGGTCACTCCGGGCACCAAAGCCCTCAACGCATCGCACGAGCACTTCATGCGTGACCTCCGGAGCCGCTCCTTATGGTTGTGGAGGTGTCGCGACGACTGCGACGGACAGTACGACCGCTCACTCCTCTCCCCATTCACGACAGCCATCACCGAGTAGTCCGTCCCGTCGCCCGATGACAGACAATGCAGGTGTAGGGGCGCACCGGTAGGGCCCATCGGTTGGGGCGCCGGCTGTTCGCACATTTCTTCGCACTCGTCGTTCGTGTCGGAGGCCGTCGTCGCCATCGAGTCATTCGTGTCGATCATGTGGTCATCGGTGGCCACCATCTCGTCCGCAATGGCCGACCCTTTCGACGTCGACTCCAATTGTGTCCACACTTTCGGCGATTCCTGTGTCGAAGACATTGATCTCTGCGCCGGAGATGAGAGACAAGCGTTGAGTCAATGAATGCATGAATGGATGGATGCGTTGGATGTGAGACACGACTTACCGGCGAATCCATTGCCCTCTCAATGGCTAATGACGTGAGTATTGAATGCGAGAACACTTCCAGTGATCGACCGATCAGTCTGTGAGTGAAAGCAGTCGTCTGTCTCTGCGATTACTTTTCGCTCGCATTTTGCGTTCGAAACACAGCCGCCGTCTCATTGGTCGCCAACAGAAACCCGTTAACTCACACACTGTTAAGCCATACAAATAACATGTTTTTCTTATTACAGTTATGTTTGACCGAATGTTGTGCCATAGAAAACGTACGCATAAATACACTCATATTTAGCACCCCTTGTATGCAAAGCAATGCAAAGTGTGAACCCAAACGTGTGTCGTATTTGACGGCAACGAACAACTGTGCGATCGAATGGGCAACAGTTGAGCCCAGAGTGTGTGGAGAGGTTCACAGACAACGTGTCGGTGAGGGGGGAGTGGAGTGGAGAGAGGTTTTTGTGAATGAAATGCTGTCGTAAGACACACACAGTCTGTGCAGTCGTAAGACGTGAGTGGAGTGGAGAGTGAATGAAGTCTCCAATAAATGGCTGACAAAGAGATGACGAGAAATATATTGATTTGATTTCTGCTCAACAAACCACGCATTCATTAGTGAACTGTTGTGTCATTAAAAGCCATGTTTTGGTGATTCACGGGTTCAGAGAGACAATCAGTTTGCGTGTATTCATGGGTCGTGTTGTGTATGCCGTGAATGAGTGCTAATGTGTTGACTATTATGTAATGAAAACATAAATAAAACTCAAAACAAAGCCTTAAATGCGTTGACAATTGGTTTGAGTTTTTTTGGCACTATTTGTCTATTTGTATGCAATTATTGGTTGTGTTTGTAATCAAAAGCAATGTGTGATCGCAGTGTTTGGCCATTGATTATGTGTGCAATTAATTGGCAATTGATTTAACAGTTATTTAACAGTTATTTACCGCATAAATGACTGTTTTGTTTGGCGTTTACGTGACTAACAAATGGATATAAATACGACAAATGCATTGAAAGTGACCCCAAATAGCAATACAAATCTCAATTCACTTGTTAATAGCAATTCAATCATTAATAACAATTTGCCCCCAATTATGACCAATACTAACAGTAATAGTATTAATAATAACGCCAATAATAACAACAATGTTGTTCACAGTAATCACATAAATGGCATCAAAAATCTCAATAATAACGTGAATCACAGCAAAAGTCATCCCATTATTAAAGGTATTATTATCTAAATGTTTTGCCATTTGTTTGTGTGTTTTGAATGCGATTTGACATACGATTTGTGAACACAATTGTCTCAAGAGTTGCGATAAAAGCTATTAAACTCTTGACAATAGATATGAAAAGTTTTTATGAGTTTTATCGCAACCAATGCTTTTTGGTCGATATCTGTAGTATTTTAATGGGTTTTTAATACAAAGCAAATAATTTAATGATTCAATAATACTAGCGTTGGCTTTGAGTGTAGAGTTATAGACAAATGCATGGCTTTTCTCAATGAGAAACCTTTTGATTGAATATGATTTTCGTACAAATGTTTGCATTTCAATGACTGCTCTAAACAAATGTCTCGTTTGAAACCCATAGATAAGACTAACGACATGACGATTGGTGTGAAACAAACCGATAGCAAAGTTGTGGTGAACTCGCAAACGAACCACAAGTCATCGAAAGCGAGTGGTCAGCCCTCGCAGCCACCGCACCCCTCCTCGCCATTACATCCCGTGCCGGCCCCTCGACGTCACACCACTAATGACACTCGCAGTCCGTCCGTGAACTCGATGGTCGACAGGACTCCGTGCGGCTCCGAGTCGGTGACGCCCAGCAGCGAGTCCTATGAGACGCCGCCTCCCGTGCGATGGCAGCAAGACTTCCACCACTTGATCGACGACGTGGAAGGGGTGGCACTGTTCAAGGAGTTCCTCAATAGAGAGGGAGGTTTGGAGTATTTGCTGGACTTCTACTTCGCGTGCAGAGGACTCAAGTCACAGGTGGACGACAAGAGTGTGAAGAGAATAGCGTACGTTATGTGCAAGAAATTCATCCGCAACTCATTGATCACCTGTATCTCAAAGGAGGTGCGCCAGAGTCTGATTGCCAAAGTGGGCGCCTCCTCTCAGTCGGACCCCAACGGTGACACTGCGGTCGATCGGCACGTGTTCGACGCCGCCCAACAGGAGGTGGAGGTGCAGCTGAAGGGTGCCATCTATCAAAACTTCTTGAGTTCAGAGCTTTATCTCAATTATGTGCACAAATACCTGATTCCCGACAGCCAGTGCATAGGTGTTTACGAGGAGTCCATATCGGGCTATGAGAACTCCATCACCTCAGAGGAGACCAGTCTCGACGACTATAACCCACGCAATCAGATATACGAAGTGTTGCCAACCCTTCACGAGTACCACGAACTCGACACCACGAATACGCCGATGAATACGATCAGTTCAAACGCCAGCTCCAGATCTCAAGCGAACCGTCCGGTGGACGACTGCCAAAACCCAATGTCTACCGGCTTTTCATCCGATACTCTCAGGCGTCAACTCAATTCACTGCTGGCGCCCAAACGGCCGGCCAATAGCTCATCCACTTCGCGACTGACTACTGAATCGCATCCTATGAATACAATTAGTCGTATAAGTCATCCGGGATATCAGTCGTACGTGCGGTCAAAGCAGATGGCCGTACCGCCCAACCCCTATCACGTGACGTACGCGCCTAATCTGCCGCCGTCTGCACAGGACAGCGAAGTGAGTACTAACGAGTCGACCTCATGTGTGAGCGCACCGGCAAAGGACGGGTCGGACACCGGTCGCATCCGTAGTAAGAAGCATATGACTCAGCAAATGATGCAACAAAACGCCAAAATCAACTCAAACCCCAAGAACGCCCACACCAGAGACCTGTGGGCCACGCGAGCCCATAGCGGCCAAAAGGCGGGCCCCTCACAGCCCCTGTCCAGCGACGAGTTCATAAAGATTTTGATCGAGAAGTTGGATGTGTTTCGCATCAGACAGGAGAAGGATATGGAGCATGAGATGAGACTCAAACACCTCATGATTATGGCCGACCCCAACAATCCCAGCAACAGCTCCAACAGCGCCAACACTACGTCCCGGCACTCGACCGCCAACGCCTCCGACACCAGTCGACCCAACAATACGCTGAAGGAAGTGCTCAAACAGAAGCTGGAGTTCTGTTCGCCGCCCGGAGACAACGGTCAGGACATACTCGACCAACACATCGCTCAGGTGTTCGCCGACACACCCATCGTAACGCCCACCGACTCGGTCGGTCGAATCGGTGTGAGTTCGCCGAAGACTAACTTCATGTACAACAATATGACCGCCGGTTCGTCGACGTCGGTGCCGATGGCCGTCAACAGCTACACGTACGACCCGTCGGGCGCCGACACCCAGTCGATCGTAGCGATTGTGAAGTACTCGTGCGAACAGATGCCGTACCGGTTGCCGATGACAGGGCCGCCCATAACGTTGCGTAAGTTCAAGATGCAGATCCCCACCAAACGCGGCAATTGGCAGTACTATTTCAAACGCCAGTGCAATCAGAGGGAAGCCATCGACATATCGGCCCACTTTGTCCTCGAGAAGATCACGGATGACAACACACGGCTCCCACTCATTGGCAATAAAATCTATGCTGAACTCCAAGAGTCTAATTGAGTGCTTGAAGTCATACGATTAGCAATTCTGTTATTATTGCTTTTTATGAGCTATTCATTCATTTGTTTATTTCAACACTTTATAGAATTAATTGTTTTTATATGAGACTTATT